ATAACGGTGCTTGCTTGATAACGGTGTTAGTACCTACACCGAACGTCTTGCTTGATAACGGGGTTAGTACCTACACCGAACGTCTTGCTTGATAACGGGGTTAGTACCTACACCGAACGTCTTGCTTGATAACGGGGTTAGTACCTACACCGAACGTCTTGCTTGATAACGGGGTTAGTACCTACACCGTGACGTCGCACCTATTGCAATAAAGAAGTTGACTATCCATAGAACTTGCAATTAGTTTTCCTTCATTATTGATTAAGGCCTGATGTGGCAAATGTATTACATCTTATGTAATATGCGCATGGAAGTGCAACAAGAGGGATTATCAGCGGACTTACAAAAACAAACATCTTTTAAAGGATTAACCGATAACGCGCTGATTGATTAATTGCTTTTATCTTGCACAGTGGATTTGTCAAAAGGTAGTGTTTATGCATGTAGATTTATTAATCTATACTGAATACACCCTGTCGCAAAGTGACTGTGTAAAGACAACGTCCTCCCTTTAAAGGATTAACCGCCAATACATTGATTGATTGCTTATTATTGGCTAACTGAATTACTTTGTTAAAGAATGGCGGACATCATGTACTTAGTTGCCAGGTGTGCTATCTTGGGTGACCAATCAGACTCTACACCAATGTGAAAAACCTGAAACGATATATCACCTTTTCGCATATTAGACCGTTACAAGACACTTGACATGGAACAGGATTCTTCGTCAGATGAAAGTGCATGGCATGTCGTTCTTTTATGTGGATATTGATGATACATTCCCTGAACAAGATAAGTTAGCCTGGTACTGGTGCTGTAACTTAAGTCTGTTTTAATTTTAATATTTACATTTTGTTATTCATTTCTTGTTGCATTATACTGAATCATTTTTTCGCCGTGAAGTGTAATGAGACAGACAACATGCATACAATAGGTCGCACTTGGGGCATGTGTGTGAAATAAACACAATCGACATTGGCAATCTATATAAAATGCCTAGATAGTACAGTCATATTATAAATTCACAATAAGTATGAGCAGATCGTGTGCATTTTATTAGTTTCTAAACTGCATACAAATATGATAAACTAACGAGGATTATAAGACAAAATATAAAGACGTACATTGACTTCGTTACTTTTCAGTCCTAGCAATTATCACCACTGGCAGATGGTTAAACTTCAAAATGTTTTCATTTGTTATCAAATTAATGAAGATGGAAATATTATAGTGTAAAAAGGATTTCCTCTTTGTTGATCAATCTATACTAATAGTATCAATTGCACATGCGGGTAGCGCAGCAGAGGTCACGAACCAGTCAAGAGTTATGGGATATCATCCGGGTGATTTATGCCCTGAGTGGCCACCCATGCAATGAACCGTGCATTTTCACACCTCTTAATTGGTCTCAACTCAGTTGTTCCTGAGTGACCGGGGGGGAGGGTTGCTTCTTCATAGCCTGACAGCAGTTTCTTCCTCTCCTGCTCATAGATTTGTGGAATACTGGTTAATTCTTCTTTGGCCCGTTTCTTCATGTTGCTGGAAATGATATGCGCAGCTTCTTTACCAAACTCAGATGAGTGGGTGTGGTCATTCCCTATTCTAACCAGTGTTCCGTCATCAGTGGTGGTGATGGCAACTCCACATCCAGACTGTCGACAGCGCCAGATTATAGTTCCATTTTTGTTCAGTTTTCGCCTATTATATTTAAAACCTTCTAACAAGATGTCATAACCTTGCTGTTTACCTGGAACAACCACACCCTTCACATCCATGGCATATGAGAACGGTACATGCCTATCTGCTATTTCATATATTTATATACAATTTCACTAAAACATCCTTCTCTCACCTGAACTCACTTGACTATTACCGGAAAATCAACACAACAACCTCCTTCTCCTGATTAAGTACTTAATGCTTCTCTCACACAGTAGTTATTTAATCCCTTTTACCTGTAAATCACTTGACACAGTAGTTGTTTAATCACTAAATAAACAAAACATCCATGTTCTTTCTCCCTCTCTCACTATTGCCAGTAAATCAACACAACACCACCCTTCTCCTGATACAGTAGTTAATCACTTGACACAGTAGTCAACACAACAACAGCCTTGTTCTGGTAGAGTAACTTACATAATTGCACATCTAACTTTGTCCCTGAGTGACCACCGCTCTTAATTACCCCTATGCATTTGTCCCTGAGTGATCACTGTATTCCCCTTTTATGTAAGAGGACGGAGGTCACTCAGGGAATATACTACCCGGGTACTCACGGGAGAAAAACAATAACAAAAGCAACAACCAGTCCTGGATCAGTGGCCCTTTAAACCTAGTATGCTATCATAAAATGACATCTCTATTAGTATTGGGAATTGGTAAAAATATCACAATTGATCATTGGTTCATTACAACCGTTCAATCATCAAAAAATAATTGGTTTGTGTCATCAATCAAATCTTCCTATTATGTTTGTTAATGCACAAATAATTAAAAACAATCTCTTCGTGTTTTTTCTGTTGTTTTCTAAAAATAAATTTTGGGGTGTGTGTTTTGTTTTTTGTTGTTGTTTTGGGTTTTTTTTGGTTTGATTGTTTGTTTGTTGTTGTTTTTTGGGGGGGTTTTTGGGGGTATCATTATAACCTGTGTTCAGTGTGGTCTGTGAGTGAATTTGGTGGTGAGTGAACTCTACTTACTCGCACAAAATGAGTGAGTGAGTTTAGTTTTACACCGCACTCTGCAATATCTGCATAAGAATGGATCTGCGCAATTGAGAACCGATGACATGTGTCAACAAAGTCAGCGAGCCTGACCACCCGATCCGGTTAGTCGCCTCTTACGGCAAGCATGGGATACTGAAGTTCGATATTCTAACCCGGATCTTCAGGGGTGTTTACTCAGAGTGTAATTGTGTTAATCCTGATAGTATCCATTTTTGACAGCTTCTTGGTCACTGATCCCTTAAGGTGTGATGTTTCGCTGTCAAAACTAGGACTAACAGAATGACCACTGTCAAAACTGGGATAACTAGCTGTACCAATTAAGGGTAATTATGTGAATGCAATCAGCTGAGAACACAATCATTCTAAGAGCTACCACTTGGCGTAGAAGGCAGGATGGGAGAAGGATTGGAGAAGCAGCTTTACCAATTACTTGCGAAATATACATACCCACATGTACATCACATTTTCATATTGCATTTCGTCATGGCTGAGAAAGGTACAATTTTAGATGGTAAAAGCAGGTGCAGAGTAGTTGCTGGATGGACATAGGTATCTTCTGTTACAGTAGCTCCCACAATCACTGGTTAATCAGGGATAAATTAACACGGGTGAGCGAGGACTGTCAAAATTGGGACAACCGGTAAGTTCACTTTCAAAATTGGGATAACTGGATAGATCAATTACAGAAGTGTGAAACTTCACTGTCAAAATTGGGACTGTCATAATCGGCACCAAACCATAATCCTATTCCGCGTATAGCCAATTAAAATGCAAGCAAAACGAGAATACACAGGGCGTGTGCCAGACAGGGACACCTCACCCTTCAGATAATTAGGGACCGCCTCCGTGGTGTAGTGGTTAGAGCGTCCGCCCGGAGAGCGGAAGGTCGATCCCCGGCCGCGTCATAACAAATGTTGCTTAACATTTTGGATACTCAAGAGCCACTGTTGCTAGACCCTTTCATGTGCAGCACTGGCTTCGTGTGTTCATTGGACTTGCCTTCTTGCCAGTATCACTCGTCCTGATGTGATATGATCTTGTTGCTTCCATGATTATGATTTTGATTTTGATTATAGGATATTTATATAGCGCACATATCCACGCACTAGTGCATGCTCAAGGCGCTGGTAGTTTTTCCCTCGATCAGTGGATGTCAATCTCAACGGCACATCGCATCATCAATCTCAACTCCCTGGGGAGTATACAACTCTTGCAGCCACTAGGCGCACCGAGTTATTGTGGCTTTCTCATCCTAACGAGGTAACAATTGCCACGACACCATCCATTAGCAAATGTGTGCAATTGTGTAATTACTTTAGGACACTTTCCCATCGCAATATATTTCTCAAGATATTTCAAGTAAACTTCAGTATCTTTTGCCAATATGGTATTCAAATTCAGTTGAGATTGATAGATGTTTATAATTATTGTAATAAATGCATGGCAATTGTTGTTTCTCGTCTTTGTAAATACGTACGTGAATAGTACTTAATAATTGGTGTTATTGCTATTTCATTAATAAAAGTGTAAATGTGTACAGTCACATCATATTCGCAACAATATGTACATCCATGTACCACGGTGAGTGTTTTTTTTGGAATAAACTTAATTGATTGAATGAGGTTAATCAAAGGTGTTAATGATCTAGCCCTCGATCAGTTACGGCCTTGCTGCACACGTACCACACAGGGACACTAGACACACTCGCGTGCCACACAGGGACACTAGACACACTCGCGTGCCACACAGGGACACTAGACACACTCGCGTGCCACACAGGGACACTAGACACACTCGCGTGCCACACAGGGACACTAGACACACTCGCGTGCCACACAGGGACACTAGACACACTCGCGTGCCACACATTAACCTTTGGTTCTTTTTCGCTTTTATCTGCCATCTTGACCTGTATATATTTATATGACTATAGTAATATTGTATTCTCATGTACCACCGTTGGTGGTGTTTTGAGTAATAAATTGAATTGAATTGAATTGAATTGAAACTTGACCCTCATCAATTAATTTGCCAAGTGCCACAGAGGGCATAAACCTAACCAACATGTCATTTGTCAATTAAGCACCATTTCGTTCCTTGTATTTTCTAAAGGTTTTAAGGTGTGCGTATTACTTAACTCACTAGTCCACGTTTAGGAACTAATTTCCTTTCCGAATAAAATGCGTGTACAATTCACATTAAAGTTTTCAAATATCCTATGTTAAACTCACGTTTTCCGTATTGGTGCTTTAAACTAGGTATGACAGGACTTACCCCATTCCTCATTACCGTGTATAAAACTACACAACATCCCATTCCAAAAACAAATCCGAGGGCTGCTTGGTTCAACTTCATGTTTTATCTCAGAATGAGGCGTAGATGGTTATACTGAAACAGACAAAAACACATGTTGTACTGATAACAGTGAGTGAGTGTGGTTTTACGCCGCTTTTAGCAAATTCCAGCAATATCACGACGGAGGACAATTGAAATGGGCTTCAGGCTTTGTACCTCTGTGGGGAATCGAACCCGGGCCTTCGTCGTGACAACCGAACACTCTAACCACTAGGCTTCCCCAACGATAACAGCAATGACAAATCGACATGACATAATTATTTGCATTTCAAACACCAGGAACTCTTCTAAAGTCTGTATTAGCGACACTACATGCAATCGATAATAGACTGTACTTAATCGGAAGCCGTTTTAGCCGTTGAGTTGACCACATCATAATATTATGCCGCTTTCAAGAGTCAAATATACATACATAGGTATTAGAGAACTCTCGAAAAAGGAATGTATTTACGTATGCGATAAAACATACAAGTATAGTCATATCAGAGGTTTTGTTCAGAGACAATCATTCTGTATAATTCCTTTTCCACTTCTTAATTCACAGACAGACAGACAGATATTTTATTTCAGTCTCACCTCACATAAAAAACATATAAAAATATATTTATAAAATATAGCATATAAGTGCCCGTTAAGGGTTATGAGAGACTAATGTATTAATATATTATAAATACTAAATAATAAATAATTATATAGGTACATACAGTATAAAATCTATCTGAATAAAATATGTTTTCTTCTTTGCAAGATATAAAAGCAGGTTTTGGCACTGAAATATACATGGTGTTTAAAAAGTAAAACCAATTTATCATCATCACAAAGATCTAAGAAGTTGGGATAGCTAAAACAGACATTTCCATATAAACTTTCTCGCAAATCATCATACATAGGGCAATACAACAAAAGGTGTCTTTCATCCTCAACACTCTCACTGCACTGAAAACATACCCTCTCATTTACATTCACATTTGTATATCTGCCGGTTTCCAAATGCAGAGGAGCAGTACCTGATCTGAATTTGGAGAAGGCAGAGCGGTAAGAACGGGGCATACTCATACTCACATAACTTTCACAGCCATACACATCCTTAAACATTCGATACGTTCGTAATTTATTACCTCCAGTTCTACCGCTTGGCTTGTGTAATAACTCATACCAATCATTCACATACTTCTGCATACAAATATCTCGCACCTTCTCGCATACCCGTTTAACATTAACATCAGCATATTTACCCACCCCCAAGAAAAATCTCAAAGCACGATGTTGGACAGCATTTACTGCGGATACCTCCCGATGTCCCCATATAGATGCCCCATAACTTAAAACTGACCACACCATCGTATCATATAACTTTGTATAAGTTGTGGATTCCATTCCTCCAAGTGCCTTATATTTACAAATAAGAAGGCCTAAAGCTCTGTTAGCAGACTTTGCTGCTGCCTTAGCCATAGCATTATAGTCAAGATGTTCTGTGAGCAGTAGGCCTAAATAGCTATAACTATATGGAAACTCATAATGACAGTTTCAGTTGTAGAAATCAGACGGAAACCTAGATTTGTTAGTTTCAATTTTGTAAACTACGCGGAAACTCACATTGTCTGTTTCCGGATGCTGAAACCTAGCGGAAACGTACATTACCCAGTATCCATTAGGTTTCCGCAAAAATGGAAACGAAGTTATTTTTGCTGTGTATTAACAATTCCTAAAACGGAGTTACCAACAGTAAAAACCGCACTTGTTCTTTGTGCACTAATATGTCTAAAATGTACAATCTTAGATTTATCATTATTAATGCATATAGTATTATCCACACACCACTTGTTTAAAATGTAAAACATATTATTTAAGCCTTGATTAACATGAAACCACGATGTTAACATACCATTAATACGGACACTACATTTTGCCTTATCACATATTGATTGAATATCTAAAAACATTTTCCCTTTCACGCCAATATCACTTACTTTCTCCCACAACACTCTTCTATCAATACTGTCATACGCTTTCTTAAAATCAATAAAAGCAGCAAAAGTATCCTTTTTATTACATTTTCTATTTTCAATAAACGAACAAACACTGTGAATATGATCAGTAGTGGCTCTCTTCTACCGAAATCCGTTTTGCATATCACTCAAAACGCCAGTAGAGTCAGCCCAGGACTGTAAACGACTATTCAGAACATTACAATACAGTTTGTACATAGAGTTGGTAAGGGTCAAACCCCGATATGACATAGGATCCATTGGATCTAAAGTAGAACACTTGGGTATTGGATTAATGATGCCTGTAGCCCAGGTAGCAGGAATTGTCCCTGTATTAAAACACACATTGAAAATATGATGTAATGCCTTGATAACACAACAAAGCTTTGGAGGGCGCTCAGAACTAATACTGATTATGTTCCTCCAAGCCTGTTGGAGGTTTCACGAATATTATATATAACTGTTTATGAGTTAAGCATGCCATGTGTAGAACTGCAGACTGTTTAAAAACAAAAATTTACCGACCTTCGACAACCTCAGGGGATAGACACCTGATCACTTGTCGATATCGTGGGTCGTCGGCGCAGAGCAGTTGTTACAGAAGTCCTATGACGGTATAAACATATGGAGATCAATGGCAAGCTTTTATGAAACAGGAGGCGTTTGATAGTTTTGTGAGCTGTAGCTACGGTTGTGCTGAGACATTGTACGGGCGCGGAACAGCGACAATATAACAACGTCCGTGTCTAGGCCTGTCCCTGCGGTGGAGAACTGACCCCCCACCTCACACACACACACACTACCCCTCCCACCCCAACAATCACAATCAGATATGCACGTTACCTATCCAAACAAGCTAAAGCTATTAAACCAGTGTTCACGAATAGCGTCTGACCCTCTGACAAATGCGGCAGATTCGCAACTGTCCGATATGGTCCAGAAGCCAGCAGGGGTGGAAATAACCCATTGTCCGACGCCCGAGTCCAGTGTTTTTTTCTGTCGGGCAAGCAAATTTGTATATCACACTGTACCGGTGTCCAGTTGATATTCCAATGTTAATTATGTTGTTTATTTAAAAAATCAACAAGAAAACGGCCGGTATAGTGGAAAAATTATCAGGGCAAGTGATTTTACATGTGCCACTGTACCGGAGTACACTAGCAATTTTAAAGTTATTTCCACCCCTGCAGCCATAATGACTATTAAGAACAATAAACACGAACTGATATGAAGGAAATGTTGCTTGCGTCATAATGACATGACTGTGTGTATCTTTGGTGGTAAGATACCATAACGCCTCTCTGATCAGTGTGCCATATCTTTTACAATGCATTAATGAATGCCGGTGTAAAATAAATCAAGAAAACCAAAGTCGTAATATTTCACATTGTAAACAGCAGAAATGGCACACCATAATGTCACTTGTAAACCTTCCATTAGGATGTCATATTATTATCCATCAGCTTTCACGGCATATTAGTGCAATACTGACACTTATCAAAACATATCTTCTGACATCAGCTGAATTGTTGTTTCTGCCAGAATGTCAATAAACGCAAATTTGTATGATTGTTCAACAGTATCTTCGATACATTAGTATTGTTGATACTTTGTAAAGCATGGAGCTGAAATTATCTTACATTTTGCTGATCTAAATACAAAGTACCAACCTCTGTTTCCTTGTAATGGTTTTTCATGAATACAATGCCAACCAAAGGTATATATGATCTTCAAATGATATAGTTGAATTAGAAAAACATAATTTTGGAAACAATTACCTTTGATTTGTAAAGTTCAACTCATATTTTCTCACCAAATGCCTTTCTATTAAAATTGACCTGTGACCTTTCCCAAAAAAATTGCGATGAGCATATATGTAATATTATTGTCCACAAATTTAAATCATGATCTGAGCATTCCAAAATCGGTCAATCCAAACCAGAGTTTTTAAATTAAACCATCCAGTTATCGGTTAAAATATTGCCATAACTGACATGACATGTTGCACCTTAAAAGGGCCTCTGCACGGTAGTCACGCACGGTAGCTGATGACAACCGGCTTTACATCAAAGCTAAATCATTCCTGATTGTGAAAAATCACATCCTGTTTGGTCGTCAGAACTGCACCACATTTTCACCATTTTGGGGGTCTGGCTTCTAGACCAATAGAAGTCTACAACCCGCCGACCCCAGTACGTGTCTGAGTGTCTATTTCACAATGACTTTGACTGAAGTTGTTTTATGTGACATGTGACACTTGTTTGCTGTTTATAAATCTTATGTTTGTTAATAATTTCAATGCCAATTATAAGAAGTGTTAAATCTGAAAAATGTTTGTTTAATTTTATTATGTGGGTCCTGTGAATTTTCAATGGGTCAGACAGACATCTGAAACTTACAGGACCCAATTTCCTGTTTACTTTGAAACACCATTCGTGAACACTGATTACACTGACATTAAACAGACATGATGCCTGTTTTGTAAGCGAAAAATATTTACGTAGAAAAACTAAATTAAACTCATCCTGAATAAAAATTACTGTTTGTTGGTAAAAATATATCGCAGTTACCTCTAAATGAATCATGATGTGTATTATTTATCATTTTAATCGTGCCGCAAAGCCACACTTAAATATTTCATATGTGTCATTTCAATACATTTTTGGTACAATTAAGTAATTTCGATCCCTGAAATAAAACGCATTATGAATAACACTTAATGTGAACCAAATCATTTCATAAACAAAGAGCAAATCCCCGGCCCCCGATGACAAATTATCTGATTGTTGCAGTCCTTGAAAAGAGTAATCTGTCCAACTTGAACAGAGTATTCCATTCTAATTAGAAGATAAAGCTACTCTGTTTCCAATTTTGCAGTCCTTTATCGTTGATTTAAGACCGCTAAATGTAATTTAAAAACCGAACGCGTAAGCGTTAATAATTTTACAATGTTATTACACATTTTACAATGTTACACACATTGTGTAATAACATCACGTGGTGCCGTACTAATATTTGATAGTATAGTATAGTATGACATAAAACT